GATGTTATATTCATAAATGCGTATTTGGAGTTTGGTACTGGTACTAGCCTTCCTTTCCAGAAAATAATGTTTAGATGTTTTCGTTCATTTTTATATCATAATAATGATAATAATGAACTTGTACAGCTTGAAGATGAAGATCAAATAAATTTAAACACATATACAGGTTCAATTTACAATCATTTTTATAATGGTACATGGCAAAAGCCTGTAAGTGATACATATTGGATACATAATGATAATATATATGCACACGCAACAAGGTTCGAATATATGTACTCTTCTTTCCTTCTTATTCTATAATAAATATTTATATTTAAGAAATATTTTACGTTATATAAATTTATGTTTAAATAATTTATTATTGCAGAGTAGATATAAAAAGAAGCACAAGTTCAGCTATAGAAGCGTTTGAAAGTTGGAGTAATTTGCCTATTAATTCTAGAACAGAGATATTAAATAATCTTGCATATACATTAGAACACAATGGGTATATATTTTAATTTACTAAAAAATGTCTATGCACATATATTTCTATAGATTTTTTTTCTATATTATCGTGTACTCTTAATAACATTTTTAACAAAAGTTTCTTTTTTTTCTTTAGCAAATATCTATTAGCAAAGACAGTGTCAAAATGTATAAAATTATTAAATACGATACATAAAAATATATTAACCTGTCAAGATGAAAGATTAGAACTAATCGCCATTCGTGCACCAGGAGGTGTAATTCCTCTCTATCATACTGATGAAGTTATATTGTTTAGTTATCTGACAGTATCTCTATATTTTGGCAATTGTGTCGTTGTAGTATATAGTAGAAATTCGTGCAATATAATACCATATTTTAACATGTTTTCAACAGCTGAGATACCTCCAGGTGTTATAAATTTAATATCTTATAAAAATCTACCTTACTCTGCTCAGATTTCACATCCTGAACTAATTGATCAATTGCTAGAGGTTACTATACCGAAGAATATTATACTTCCTCTTAAATAATTGTGAAACATTACATACTCTATAGTCTATAATATCATATTTGTTTATATGCCTGTATAATTAAATAAACACATTCATGTATTTATGTAAACGTTATAACTTACTTGTCATTTGTTTTAAAATAAAATTAATTATATAGTAATATAATATCATATAATAATATATTATATTCTTTAAATCAATATTATTAATAATAAAAAATATTGTTTGAAACAACGTCAATACTAAGAAACTTGGTCCCTTTTTGTTAAATTTTTCAAGAAATAAAAAGAAAAATAAATTTTATGCTATATCAAATATTTTTATGATCTATTTACTGCACGCATCAAATTAAAAAAATAATAATTTAGAGTAATTTACATTTCAATAAAGCAATCATAATGTAAAGTAATCAAAATATGAAGTGTTCTTTATTTTAGGAGATTTGATTTAAGGATATTGAAAAAATTTTTATTTTGCTTTTTGTAAATGAAATATATTTTTACCGATTAACTTTAATTATAATATTACTTTTAAAACTTTTTATTCCATCCAATTGGAATTTTAATGTAATTATAATACTTAAGAACTTTAAAAACTAATTGAGTGCAAAAAAGGGAGTTGAGCCAGGGTTGGCAGGAAAAATCCAGTGGGTGGAAAAAACCAGGGTAAATTCCGGATTTTACCGGTCCGGAGTTTATCCACTGGAATAATAAACTGGTAAAAACTATAAAACTGCTGCTTTAAAATATAAGAACATGAAGGCGATTCAGTATCGGTGCATCTCTCTTTTTTTACTTGATTTATTCATTTCACTCTTCCTGTCTGATTCACTTTTACTTGAATTATCATCATCGTTCTTTTCAAACTTACTACACTTTTGAAGATGTTGTTTCAGTCGTGAAGCTTTTCCACTAACTAATGTTCCACAAGCAATACATTTCTGCTTAATAATGTTGTCAACTGTACAAGATTCAAAGCAAGCCCATACAGGGCCCTTATGTCTTCCTCTTAATGTATTTTTACTCAAAATAATCAAATCTATTTATTTGATTATTTTTAATAAAAAAGACCAGGTTTTTTGCCGATTTTTTTCCGAAAAATACCGGTTTTTATCACTGGCATGGACTTTATCCAAAAAATGTGTACTTTTACCAACCCTGAGTTGAGCACAAAAATTGCTCGAAAAGTAACACACAGTCTATCATTATCTGCACTGTCAAAATATTTGATGAAATATTTGTTTCATCGTAAATTAAGGGAACCCTAAAAATGATTAGTCATAGTGTAGATATGACTTACACGATTTACATGTCCATTGACATATCACTACATACTACTACATTAATATCTCACGCACACATACACATAAATATTCGTATAACAATAACGTTTTAATTACACGTCTAAGGCTAGGTTGTTCCACCTTTCGGTAACTTCAGGTCACTGTCTTACTCTCTTATATCTTACTCATTTACTCTTTTGTTTAGTCAATAAGTAAATTACCACATATAAGCTGCGTTCCACTTAACATTTGCAACGCTCGCGAGCATCGTTTGTCCTTGTTTAACATTTGATAAACGACAAGGATGAAATGATTCCACGAGCATTGTGAACATTAAGTGGAACGCAACCATAGTTTATCTAAAGATGGAACAACCGCCCCTAAGTCCAATTAAATTAAACTCTACATTGTTTCTTCGTACAAACTACTACTAAGTCTGTGGACTACTATTTCGTAACTATAGATTGCACAGCTTTTATACGAACTAAATGTCACGATGTGACAGCTCTAAGTGCCACATTGGACTAAGAAATATAGTAAAAGTCTAATTTTTTAACTCAATTTTGAATTTTTTTGCATAAACTCCACCTCACAGACACATTTAATGTGTATACTTTAATCCTAAGAAAAGGATTTTCAAATCTATAAAAAAGAAGTAAATGTTATACAAAAAAACATTATAATACACTAATCAAAAACAAAAAGAGAAGCAACAGGCTATTAGGAACCAACACTGTAATAGGATGCGCATAAAATTATTACAGAAATTAACGACTAAAAAAATGTAATATTTACAATAAGACGAACATTTCAATTAATTTCTAGCTCTCTTCAGCGTAGTAAACTTAAAGTCATGATTTACATTCTTCGTGTAACAATTGAAGTCTTGTATGGATTCCAGTGATCAATTTCCAAATACACAAAAAATGTATTTCCCCACACCAGTTGGCATCGACCATTGGATAGTCTCAAAAAGATTAAGATCTTAAAAAAGTAAAACAATAGTTTGTAAAACCAACAAAATTATAAAACAAAATTAATAATAAAATAATAAAAATAAAATCGGTAACTTGTTATTAAAAAAAAAACTGTAACTTATTTTTAAAAGTAATTTTCCCTTGAGCTATGTTCAGATTCGCACCCAAATGCCACCCAGATATCACTCCATCCTTATTGTTTACCGAATGTTAAATAAGAATGACTGCATCTGGGGAGCACCGAGGTGAGAATCTGAATACGTCCCTGCATAAATTACTCTGTACAATTATTTCTGCCGATACAATTTATAACAGATGCTTTACATAATCTATTTTTGACAGACGGTCTGAAATATTCATATTAGTTAATTTAATATTGCATGTTATTAATATTATTTTTGTCTTTCTTATATTTAATGTTTGTGGTATATACTTAAGGATATTAAACTATCAGACACAGTTCTATACAAGTTATCAGACACAGTTATAATACAAGTATCTTAGGTTGATTTGAAATTTCATCACAGAGAAATTGGGCGAGTTTAAGACGATAAAGCGACTAGGCATGCTTACCGAGCGAATAAGCATGATTAGTTCTTACCTGTGGACCAATCAATCATGATTAATTGCTCGGCAAGCAGTCCTGGCCGTTTTGTCGACTTGAACTCACCCATTTATATCGATATTAATAGTGCATTATATATGTACATGTGTCGGGCTTAATTTGAATAGTATAGTGTTATTAATCGCCATCCTTCCTATTTAGAAACATTTATATTTTTTCAAATAAATGAAGGAAGCGTATTTAAATAGAATGAGTGATTGTCTCAGGAAACCTACTGCTCCTAGTGTATATTTAGATGATATGTAAACTTGCTGTATAAATGTAATTATATAGTTGTTTTTTTCGAGCTGGAACGGTTTTTGTTCGAGAGGTTGATGTTCGGTTATTCTATGGAAGAAGAACGACTTCGATTTACGATTTAAGATAAGATGTTAAGATAAAAAATTGTAATTTCGTCTTGAAGTTCTTAAATAAACATTAAACACGGAAATGATTGGACGCGCTCATTGTGTGAATCCGAGTTTTTTTTTTTAAGAGAAAAATATAAATAAAACCTTTTACACTTCCTTTAATTTTTTAATTCTATGGTAAGAATTAAATGCTTTAAGCAAATATTTTTATGCAGCATGTAGCACAACGCATAATTAACAAATAAATACCACCAAAATTAACTGGTGATGAATATAATGAAGTAAATAGGAGAATGTGATAAAGTAAAAACTATTATATTGCAATATACCTTAATTTATTGACTAGACCATGCTATTAAAACTTTCAAATAACATATTTCATATTCGTTATGCTTGAAAAAGTATCCTCTATGGCTCAGTGTGATTTTAAAGTAAATATTGCATTCTACTTTAGAAATAAAAAAATATGAATTGATACGTATTAACATAAGAGAATTTAAATAAAATATAATCATGTCAGTTAAACAGTCAAAAGCATAGATAAGAGTCAAGATAAATAAAATTAATAGAAAGAAAATAATAAACTGTCCATAGAGAATTCATAATGTGGCACATTGCGTTTATTAAAACGTATATTATTATCAAAATTATTTAAAAATATTGTATTTAAGAAAATAATATATATATATACTTAAAAATAATATCGATTTTATAATTATATTTAAATAAAACATTTTATATAATATAAAGCTATCAACTGTTATTACAAGACAAAATGGATTAGAAGCCGAATAAAGATTTGAGATCATTCAGCGTAAGTTTTCCATCTACCCTGCTTGTACTACCACTCAATACATTTTTTGCTATCTGAAGTTTCCGTTCTTGCAACGCTTTAATACGCTCTTCTATTGTATTAACACAGATAAATCTAAAAATGGAAACAAAAAGATATTAAAATGAACTTTGCAAAGAACATAAAGAAAGAAATAAAGAATATAAAGAGTAGAAATTAAACACGATATACAAACTTGTAAATATAAACATTCTTTGTTTGACCAAAACGATAAATCCTGTCCTGCGCTTGTGTTTCTAATTGTGGATTCCAATGAATGTCGAATAACAACAAATGATTGCCGCCTACCAAGTTTAATCCTACTCCGCCAGCAGTCAGTGACAATAATAGAATTCTCGGACCAGATTTTCGACTGTTAAAAGATTCCATTATACCCTGAAGGAAAAATATATAAGTATTCATTTTTTAATGGGGTAGGATACAGTAAAAATAATACAGTCGCGTTCGTCAATATTGTTGTCTATAAACTAATATTTTTTTCACAATTCACGGAAAGTTAAATATCTCGGTAAAAAAACAATCGTATAAAAATTTTCGACCACGTATTTTAAAATGTAAAGGGCTTTAAATCTGTGTTTGAATTTTTTTCTACATTTTGTTTCTAAATTATGAAAAATTGAAAATCAATATTTTTTGCAATATCTTTGTTTTACATTGGAGCGCTGCAGATTGATCAAAACATCATCGAATCAAATTTAATATAAAAGCATTTTAAAGTTTAGAAAGCCTACTTTAAAATACTTTTATATTAAATTTTGTGCAATGCTTCATTGAACTACAGAGCTTCAGAATAAAACAAAAATATTACAATATTAATTTTCAATTTTATATAATTTAATGTAGAGAAAAAAATAAGTGCAGATTTAAGTCCTATTTTTGCACTTTAAAATGCGTGGTCAAAAAATTCTCTACAATTATTTTTACTAAGGTATTTAACTTTTCGTGAAATGTGACAAAAATATCAGTAACAAAATATTTTGGGACGCCAAGTGGCTCGCCGGTCAGTGCGATTAACTCGTGATGTGGATCCGGGTTCGACCTGTGCCCCATATAAGCGATTTTTCGCGTTCGCCGATCAGATTCGGCGTTAAATTGTAAGTCTCCTGGGGACAAATTCTAAGGAGTAAGAATGCAAACTATAACTACCAAATGCAAAAACACAAGCGAGCCTCTGCTCCCCGAAGAAACTCTATATAAAGCTAAATTGATACGCATGGTACTGTGACACCTCAAAAATGAAAAACCAAACCAGGGGAATATACTAAGAAGCTAACAAAATATTTATGAACGCGACAGCTGTACACAGGTAATATTGATATCGATAATTCATACCTGTCGATCTTTAATAGGAACATTTCCTGTAAATTTGCTAAAAGTAGCCCCTTTTACTGAGGGTAAATGTGATGCGATGACTTCCAGCAATATTGTCCATTGCGAAACGATAATAAGTTTATCACCATTTTTTTGCAAAATTTCTTTAACAGTATTAAGTAGCATTTTCATCTGAATCATTTTATATTGAATTATAATCAAATAAAATAATACAGTTCGTTCAGATTATATAATTATCACTCACTTTAGAACTAATACGATCATCAGCAAACACCGGATTTTCGGCGGTAAGTAAATTTTCCATTATTCTTTGATCAACGCCAGCGTTTTCCTCTTCTTCATTATCAACTCCAGTAAGTGACATATTATGCGCGCGCGATAATAAATTGGAATCCACGTTTTCTATATCCATTATACCGCTTTGTTGCAAGTCTTCCTGATCCAGCATTGCGTGGATCAATGCCGGATGACAACATATTTGACGCAGTCGTAGCAGAAGTACTAAGATTTCGTGCGTCTTTACATCGGCGTGTAACGCCAATAATTTTTTTTGTGCTTTCGTGAACTGAGTCTCCTTGTCTTAAAAAAAGAAAACGGATAATTACGCATTAAAATAAATACATTTCGATGATTAGAAGGTAGATATAACATATTATTGTAAATAAAATCTTACTTGGGTTTGACAAAAAGGAAGGTTTATCGTATTTGCCACTGTACAAATCTAACATATGTTCTTTCTCTGCACGTTGAGCTAAAAATTGTGCAAATAGAGTGCGGGAATATGCTAACATTTTTTCATAAACCAATTGTTCCTGTTGATCGAGTTGCACTACCACCTCCTCAATGGATTTATCGGGTAAACTTTCCAACTCGCCCTTCGACATCAATTCTTGTTTAGTTCTCCGTAACATTAACGTCTTCATTACCGTCGCCAATCTTTGATGGCCCGCAGCGTTTTTATTATCTACCCATCGCCTCCAAACGCCTAAATCGTCAAAAGGAGAGCATTTAAGAAATTTTAGTAAGGAGTATAAATCTAACTCCTTATTCTGTATGGGTGTGCCGGTAAGAGCCCATCGTTTACTCGCAATAAGTCCACATACTGCTTCCGATGCTTGACTTTTGTGATTTCTTATTGTATGTGCTTCATCGAGTATAACTCTTTTCCAATCGATCTGCAATAAAATTTCAATTTGCGATTAAATTAAAAACTCAGATCTGTATTATATACGTATTAATAAGATTAAGTTCCTACTTGTCTACTTATTGGTCAAATAATATTTGTAAGCTTTAATATACCTTATATAATGTAGAATTGGTTTTATATTCTCGAGATACTATATTATATGTCGTGATGACTATATCTTTTCTTGCCAATTGTTTAGGAG